AGTCTTGCCATCAGGGGTCATTCCAGGTAGGTTTAGGTAATTCCGGGAGTCCGTGGGAAGAAGAAAAAAAAAAATGTGCTGGCTTCCAAGGAAACTCCTTATACTGTCCCAGAAATCTGACTCCTGGTTGGTTCCCTGGATTCTGTTTAGTTTTCTTCTGGTGCTGCAAAGAACAAAACTGTTCTTTCTCTCTTCCCTGATAGGATTTTAAATTCTTGAGGCCAGCTAGCTACCTTCATGTCTTTAAATGTCTCTTCAGGTGAAGGGCCCCTAGTTCCTCTGCCTTTCTTTATATTGCATCGTCTCCAGACCCTCGCTGTTCTGGTGCCTTCCAGAGCACACTGTAGCTATTGTCCTCTTAAAATGTGTGGGTCGGAGAATCAGAATGTCAGAGTTAGAGGGGACATTTTAGATGATCTAGTTTACTCCCTTCCCCCACACTCTCTCTGTTTTAATACCAATAGAACTTTGATTGGTGAACAGTTACAGATTTCACATGCAGCTGGAGTCAGTGAATATGCAGAGACTTCCTACAGCAGTTAGTCAGATAGTTTACTTGTGTTTGGAATGGTCTGGAACCTCGAATTGTAAACAGAATCTCTCTGCATCACACCTCATATGATATAGGGAGAGTAACAGCTCTTGTAACTGAGATAGTGGTAAGTGGTGGCCCACTAATACAGTCACGTCTTCTAATCAGCGTGTCCTGTCCTTGCTCTGCAGCTGGGCCTGCTACAGGTGCTCTCTGAAACAGAAGGTCTGTACACGGAGGATGAAGTCATAGCCAGAGTGAGCTTGGGAAAGCTCTCGCGAGAAACTTAATGCCTAAAATGGTCCAAATCCCGTTGTAAGAAAAATTCAGTTAGGAAGTGAACAATTACTCTATTTACAAGTTCAGAGTTTGAGGGTTCTCTAAACTCCAATAGTAATATTTGAATGTGGAGTACTTCCAAGCTAACAAAGCATGTTTCCCCTCCAGTTAGGTGTTACTCTTACCCCATTCTAGAGAGGGGAAGCTGAATTAGTTTTCATCAGCTTCAAAAAAAAGTCCTACTGGCTAGAGGACACAAGAGCTGTGTCTCCCCTACTCAATCTTTTTCTACACCCTGCTGTCTTTCCCTAATAAAATCCTTGAGTTACGTTAATGACATTTGATGTGTACCTACTTTCTACATGAAGTTTATGCGAGAGTAGAATGCTTGGGTTTTTTCCTGCAAAATGAAAGCCACAGTGGGATCTTTTTAAATCTGCCTCTGTACATCCTGTTACCTCTCACAGAGAGCTCTTAACTTCTCCTGGCCAACTCCTCTTTGTGTCCTTCAGTAGGAAGCTCAAAAGTCACCTCGTGGATGTCTTTCCCCCTCTTTGATTTGGGTCTGGCAGAGTTGGTGACTCTGTCTTATTTTCCCACTGTGTTTAGGAGCAGTAATCACACAGCACGGCCAGTACTTTTCAGCCTGTCTCTCATGACCACCAGACTGGGCTCTGGAAAGACAAGGTTCCATTTTTTCCTGGCACTCAGGGCGTACTTGTTTGCTCAATATAAGAGGACAGCTCCTTGCCTGTTGGGTTGATCCTAGGGTTTCGTTGGAGCACAGAAGAAATTCCTTGGGTCTGCAGGTCCCGCTGGGTCTGTGCCGCGGCTTCCACCACTTCATCAAGACCAAATCGGGCAGGCAGCCAGGTCCGAGGGGGCCGGCCACAAACAAGGGAGCCTGCACCTTCTGTTTTCAGTACCTAGGAGTCTGTGCATGCCACTACCCCAGTGGAGAAGTGACGTGTTTGGACTTAGTTAGTGAACACTGCTCTGGATTCGGCGTCCTGTGTCTTCCACCTGCCGGAGGCAGTGCTGCCCAGTGGTGAGAGCTCCTCCTCTGAAGTCAGATCTTCTGGGTTTGTGTTTTGTTTTGTTTTTTTAATTTATTTATTTTGATGTAGTGTTCCATGATTCATTGTTTGCGTATAACACCCAGGGCTCCATGCAGGACGTGCCCTCCTTAATACCCGTCACCGGGCTAACCCATCCCCTCACCCCCCTCCCCTCTAGAACCCTCAGATCTTCTAGGTGTTAATTCCACCTTCACCACTTAATAACTATGTATGATCTTAGGTGAGGTGATCATCCTCCCCATTCCAGTTTCCTCCTGTCAAAACGGAATAATGAATAAATGATGAGTAAGTGGAAACAGCATCGAAAGCACTTGGTGTAGTATCTGGTGGCTCGCTGACCCAGCTCCCAGGAGACCTTTGTGGTTGCTGTTGCTGTCCCCTGCGTCCTAAAGCCTGCCTTCCACCTACGCCACGCAGGTGGAAGATGGGACCAGGGAGGGGCTACGTGGTAGTTGGGACTGTTTCATTAGCATTCCCGTAGTCCCCGCCACCATTTATGAGGTGTTTGCTTCAGGCCAGCATTTGGTTAAGCACTCGACATAATTGACTCATTTGTGCCCCACAGTCACCCTATAAAGTATTATTACCTCCGTTTTGCAAATGAAGAAATGAGCTTGAGAGATGAAACAACTTGCCCACGGCCAAAGAGCCGCGGACCCGTCAGACTGCAAACCACTGCACGCTCCAGATGGGGAAATCGCACAGTATAACCAGTTTCCTTTGTGTTGTTTGTTGTTGTTGTTGTGTTTTCAGTTTCCTTTGTTTTGCGGTTCTTGTGGTCAGCACTCTCTGGACCCTTCACGCTGAAATGACAGATTCACACCTCCTCTAAGATGAATACTTCTTTCATACCGATTCACAGTCTGAGAGAGCAGATGTTGAAATACTAAACGCTAAACTGTGTACTTCAGCCGCAGGGCTTTCCGTGTGCTTCCTGTGACCCCAGCCTGCCGCGGCAGCCGCACATAACACGTGCACTTTGCATCAGTTATTAGCTAAGGTTATGACATCTTTTCCACTTGGGCTGTTGATGAGCCGAGTCCTCTCCATTCTGTCATTTCCAGAGAGAGGAGGTGCCTCCGAGAGAGGGCAGGATATACAGAAAGGCACTTGCCGATACCAGAATCTTGCCGTACTCGTGTTGTTACTAACTATGCAGCAACAGAAACTTCCCCAGAAGGGAAACCTGCAGGTCATGCATGTCTGCCTCCCACGAAGCTGGGAGTCACCGTGTGGATCTGGGGTGTGGGACGGACGCCCGAGTTAGCCACCCATCAGCGTAATGAGCATGGTAGCTCTGGCACCTGACTCCTACGTTTTGTAGGCTCTAGGATGTTTCTCAGCCTGGAAGTGTCTGTAATTACAAGTTTCTGCATTCAAAGGATCTTTGTGGATACTGTGAGGATACTCAAAAATATTCTTGGGGACAGGAAAGGATACAGGGCATGGTTGGTAGTTTTTTGCTTATTTTGTAACCACCCAAGTAGTGGGGGAGGATGAGGTGGCATATTTAAGTCCCACTCCAAAATGGCACAGTAGATGAGCCTGAGGTTGCCGTCTCTTCACTTAGATGGCAAGAAACCGTTTGGGCCAAGGAAGAGAGATTGAACTGGTGTTCTCCAATTCTAAATATGTTTCACTCTCCAAAACAAAGCTTCAACCCAGACTCCCGTTTTGCCCTTTTTTGGATGGTTGGCGTGGTTGAAAGTGTAGGCTGTCATCAGACTACGGTGTTTGAAACCCAGCTGTGTGACCTTGAGCAAGTTACAGAACCTCTCCAGGGCTTGTTTTCTGCATCTGTAAAATGAGGAGAGTGATCGTTTTACCTCATGAAGCAGTTCTGAGAACTAAAGGAGATTAGCCACGTAAAGGGTTTCACAGGGTCCTCTGTGATGTTAGCTATTATCACTATTTTTAAGAGAGAAAATGTGCCCCTGCTCTCTGCCTTTTCACGGTTTTCTTTTTCAGCCTCTTCCATTGTATTAGGGACCTAAGAGAATGGTTAGAATTTTGACTATTGCCAATCATAGGTGTCACTCCGTTCCTACTGAATCTAGATCCCTGGTCTGCTGGTCTGTGCTGTGTGCACTCTTCCAGGAGGCAGCAAACGTTTCCTGTAAAGGACCAGATAGTGAATCTGTTGCATATTCTTCTCCCTCTCCCATTTCCCCTTTTCTTCTTCCCCTTCCTCTTCTTTTTCTTCTTCCCTTCAAAGGTGTAAAAACTCTTCTTAGCTTGAGGGCCACACAAAAACAGTCTGCAGACCACAGATTGCTGACCCTCCCTAACATGGCCAAAGTCTCCAGTCCTGGGGTTATTCTCTTCTGTCATTGAGGTCAAAAGATGCTAATCAAAAAGACAGTAAGTTTTCATGTTAAAAATGGGGTCCAGTTGAAAAATAGCACTCTCTCTTCTCCCACCCCCAAACTCTCCCACACACCATATATAAAGAACTTCCAGAGTTCCCTTCTGAGACCAAGAAAGGGTTTGTAAAGGAATCCATTAGAGCCAGTTTGACAAACGCTCCAACTTGGATAAGCTCTGTGCCTGTGAAATTACTCCAGATTCACTTGGAGACTCAGTTGTGATTTTAATTTTAAATTCCTGGGGGTTTTGCGCCATCAGGTCTCATGTCTGGAGCAGTCACATTTTAGGACAAGAGCATCTGTTGCTGTGAAGTAAGCTAACTGTAATGAACATGAACATCATACTTATTCCACAGCAAAAAAGAAAGAAACCAAAATGCAGGCACAACCTTTGTGAAATGACAGTATTAAATTGCAAGAGATGATGGTAACGCAAATATTTAAATTCACAACTAAAATAGTGCTTGTAAAATGTAATTGCCAGGGAGAGCATGCCAGCTCATCGTTCTTTCAGCTAATTCTCTGCAGACAGAATCATTCGTACAGTCCTAGTTAAAAATGCTTATTTTAAATAAACTGCTTTCTGGTTCTTTTAAAACTGCACAAGTAAGCTTTATTGACCGGGGACGATTAGGTCTTTGAGGTGTCCATGGGCAGGAGAGATCTCCTGCTGTATGGGGGCCGTCTGAGCTGGTTTGTCTTGGGCTGCAGCTTTACTGATGGCGTGGCTTCCTTTCTCCCTAGGAGAGTTCCCGTGATGGAGGTGATGGCATTTTTGGCGAAAAGAAGGATGACAGCCAGGCAGGTGAGACTGTGTCCTTCTGAAGGCAAAGAAAAGTAAGGTCCCAGTTTGTAGCTATCCTGGAGTTCACATGTAATAAAAATGCACTTTTTTAAGGAGGCTCTTTTAGAAAGCTCGGTTGACCTTCATCAGGCTCTCTTGGAGTCACACATGGAGCTTGAATGGGGCTCTGGCAAGCTTCCGCCACCTGTCGTTGGAATTCAGAAGTGAGATTAGTGATATCTGAGGTCAGGATGGAGTCAGGGAGAGGAAAAGGAATTGTGGTTTCATTGATTTATTATTTATTTAATTCATTTGGTGGGAGAAACGTTAGGGAGGGTTGGTTTGATGTGGTTTGTTTTTTTTTTTTGCTTAGTTTTTTCTGAATTTGAACTTAACAAAGTCTTTGGCAGTTGGAAGACCCAGCTACACAGAAGCCCATAGTTGTATATGGAGAAGGCCACAGAGGGCCTGCTCATTCCCATGCCTTAGAGCAAGGTCCCTGAATCTGTTCTGCCACCGTGGACAGACATATTTGTATGTGAGAGATGACAGAGCCAACCACAACCGAAAGCTGTTTCTAAAGCAGAATTGCAACCCTTCCGGCTCTGCCTAGCTCCTGAGCCGACTGATCAGGTCCTTGAGTCAGCTGTGTTCTTATTTAAACAAAACAACAAAAATAGCCACCTTTGTTTTGATTCTGTTTGTAAATACTAATATCCTCACTGATGTTTGAAGCCCAGGATGGCTCCGACCCAGACAAATCACCCTGGCCAGTTTCATCTGCACTCACGGCTCGCCTCAGACGTCTGGTCACTGTGTACCAGCGCTGTAACCGCAAAGAACTCTGCCGACCAGAAATCCTGGGACCAGGTAACCAAGGATACTGGGTCCAGGAAGAGATGTTCAGGAGAACCTCAGAAATGGATCTCATCAACAAGGAAGCTCAAAAGAGGTAAAAGTCAGTGACCCAAAGGGCATATGGAGCTGCCGACGAGTAAAGGTGACAAGGGAATGCTGATAGCTAGAGACCAAGTGCATTTAATGTTCTCATTGTGAAGTTAGGTGGTCTCCAGAATTAATTCAGTCCAGCCTCCAGGGATGGTATTGTCGTGCTGGCTGGGGAGTTGACGAGATCTAGGAAACCCTTTTGTTCACAATTCCCAGACTTCTGTGATTTTCCAACTTGACCCTCTTCCTTAAGTTGGACCCCAATCCCTGGAAATGTGATTTAAAATTAGCATATATCAGACCATGTTCTTCTACCAGTCCTTATCAAGCCTTTGAGAACAGGAAGTACTATAAAATGCCAGCCCAGAGGGAGGGGGATAAATTATCAGGAGTTACTTGCCCATCTGAGAGTTACACCAAAAATGGCTACAGAAGGCCAGCACAGGCTAGGAATGATGCCACCAGAAAAAATCAACAAAGCTGTAGTTCTTTGAATCTTTCTATTCACCCTTCTGATGTAACAGCCAGTGAAGTAAAAGAATACCAAATAGAAAAAATAGCAAATCCACTTCTGTGTACACCTTCTGACTTTATGAAATTTGGGAAAATAGGTCTCCCATCTTTCACAACTCCAAAGAGAAGAACTCGAGCCCTTTTTCCCTGCTTCTCACTCCTCCACTGAGCCCTTCACCCTACTCCTGGCCTAACTCCTTTATGAGGCTGTCCTCATATTGAGGCCATAAAGACTATGGGCAGGGTATAATAATCCAACCACCTTCCATCATTATCTTAACCCTACAGGATGTAGAGGCTGGAGAACCTTAGTGTCCTAGATATGGGCTACCTGCCTAAATAAAACCTGGAAGAAAGTCAATGTGAAATAGGGGTCAGGGGAGTTGTGTGGCTGGGGGAGTCACTTCCCTTCTCTGGACCAATCTCCTCATCAGGAAAAGAAAGGGGGTGAATTTCAGGTCCCTCCAGGATTCTGATTCTGGTTGTCATACAGGGGGCAAAATCAGGAAAAATATTTAAGCACACAGAGTATTTTAAGATCCTCATCTCCCATCAGCGGAAACAAACGAGGTAATCTCTAAAATTAATGAATCAGGAGACAGCAGGTCTGCACACATGACTTAGAAATAGATAAATACCGGAAGAAAAAGTTGAGAGATTTGAAAGTGGTGGTAGGATAATAGGCTGTTCTCATTATAAGCCTCTCAGCCCAATTTAACTTAAATAAAAGTAATTAAATAGGCAAACCAGGCCCACCTGCTTTCTTGACTCCATGGACTCTCCTAGTAGGTGCTCAGTAAGTAGTTGTTGGCTTTTTTTTTTTCTCTTAAGGGAAAACAGCTCACTCTCCCTTTCTGATTAAATCCCAAGGTGGACTAGGAGAGAGCAAGCCGACTTCTACAGAGCAGTGTCCTCCTTTGGGGTTGTTTATGATCAAGAAAAGAAAACTTTTGACTGGACACAGTTCCGCATCATTTCCCGTTTGGACAAGAAGTCGGATGAGAGCCTGGAGCACTACTTCTATAGTTTTGTGGCCATGTGCCGGAACGTCTGTCGTCTGCCCACATGGAAGGATGGCGGTGAGAAAGCTCTTTGTCCGTATGTCCCCAGTGACACAGGGAAGGGGCATGTTTATTTTCAAGGTACAGAATCACTTCAGGTAATCTTGATTATAAGAGTAGAGTCTACCTGAAGAATTCAGGTAAAGACAAGTGGGTTTTTACAAATTCATGAACTGCTCATTGGGTCCACCCTCATAAAATGAAATGTCTCTCCCAAAACGATGCAATGTCAACAAAAATTGAAATTCAGATTAACACCTCACAGAGGAGAGGCTACTGTTAATTACCTTCTCCAACGTATTGTTAAGTCTCAGAGATTTATTCTGTGGTGAACTTTGCTCCCTCCTTAGATTATATCTTAGGAACTTTTAACTATTTCCCTGTGTATTGACTTGTAACTATAGAAAGTAAGTGGCTGTCTTTTAAACATGCCCTGATCCAGTAGAGACCCCTTCTGAGAAATTGCTTCCTGGTTGAGATGCTGCAGCTTCCTCCTCGTCCCTCTCCCGCCTCACACTTTGTAGATAAACTAGATGTGGCTCATCTGACTATATTGTACAAAAGCTAAAACAAACATGGAGTCCACCCAGTGTGGGTCCTGGGCTGACAGCAGCATGCCCCCGTGTGACATGGTTAGGGTGTTTTCATTAAAACCAGGGAGCTGGATAGATTGTAAGGAGCTGGGCCTTGCAGTCCCACTGATGAGACCTGGCCTCCAATCCTGGTTCTGCCACCTTGAGCAAGTTAGCATATCTGAGCCTCCTTCTTCATCCTTTAAACAGGGATAATGATGCTACAGCCTAGCATTGTGAGAACTCAGTGACATGTGTACGGTACTTCAGGTAGAGGGCACAGTACATGCTTACTGAATGAACGCTTACCTTGTAGAACCGAAGTTTTCGTGCTCCTCTTTCACCCTCACTGGGTCTGGCCTTGTTTCACAGAAACCTTGCATTCTCGTAGCTTTTCGTGGTGTCGGGCCCGCGCGCCTCAGACTGTGTGCTGGGGAACCAGGGAGCTAAGCTGTTAGACCAGAGACACAGGGGCTCAGGTGGGTGGCAGGTGTCCTGGGGCTGCCTTCAGTGATAGGCTCTGTGTTGGCCTTTCCAGGTCCCCCAGATCCCAGCATCTACGTGGAACCCATCACTGAGGAACGGGCCGCGAGAACTCTGTACCGCATCGAACTGCTGCGGAAGGTCCGAGAGCAAGTGCTGAGGTGTCCGCAGCTGCACGAGCGCCTCCAGCTCTGCAGGCCCAGCCTCTACCTCCCGGTCTGGTGGGAGTGTGGGAAGCACGATCGAGACCTGCTCGTCGGCACCGCCAAACATGGGCTGAACCGCACTGACTATTACATCATGACCGACCCCCAGCTGTCCTTCCTGGACGCCTACAGAAACTATGCCCAACATAAGAGAACGGACACCCAGGCACCAGAAAGTCTCTGTTGCCTTTACCAGACCAACTCCAAACTATACGAATCTCTCACATACACTCAGATGAGCAGGACTTCAGAGCCCCTTGAAAATGAGCCTGAGAATCTAGTGAAAATAGAAGGTAGAGATGATCATCTGGCTGCACCTGCGGGCAGTTTATCCGACATGACTTGTGAAAACTTTATTTCTAAAGTTCAGGATGTCATTTCCATCCCCCACGATGAACGTCTGCTGCCTGAGTCCTTGGAGGGCATGATGTATGGTAAGAAGGCCCTGAGTCGGAAGCCGGGCTCTTTTCAGGAGAGCCGCACTACCAGGACAGAACCCAGAAGGGATGCTCTGGCCGTCTCGGCCAGCGAGGATGGGAATTGGCAGCCTGGTGGCCGCGAGGCAGAAACATCTGCAGGCCCCTCTTTTATGGACAGCTTAGAAGCAGGAGTAGCTCAGATGAACATCAAAAATGGAAAACATCTGTTGCTGTCTCTTTCGAGGGAAGGGGAGCTCTGCAGTGACACGGGGCAGAGACCTGAAAGCATTGGGCAGCTAGAAGCCAAATGCTTAGCTTCCCCTTCCTTGGATCAAGGAAATGAAAGTGGGTTTGTAGATATGTGCAATCTTAGTGTCTGTGACTCCAGAAGAAGCCTGTCATCAGATCAGCAATTAATTGATTTATTAGAAAACAAAAGTTTAGAAAGTAAATTGGTTTTGAGTCAGAACCACAGCGATGAGGAGGAGGAAGAGGAGAATGAAGAGGAGAATGTAGGCGTGGCCGCAGGCCTGAGGCAAAGGCCCGAGGTTGTGCATCTAGCCGAGCCCACTGCTGATATCCTGAGGGAAAAGAGCCGAGGCTTCCATGTGGAGGAGGCCATGAGCCAGAGCCCTGGACTGCAGGGGGCATTTCCTCCAGCAGCCTGTCTGTGTCACTGCAAGCACCCAGAGGGGTGGACGCGTGGCCTCGAGAGCGAGGAGCTGGAAGTGGAGAAACCCAAGGGTTATAACCCAGACATGTACAGAAACAAGACCAATAGTGTCACAGTGGAGCCTGAGCCCCCTGCTCCTCCGGCAGAGCCGTGTCAGGGGAAGCACGAGCTGTTAAAAGAGCCTTGGAAGGACAGTGCTGAGGGGAAAAAAGCTTTCGCTGTGTATCCGGAGGCCAGTGAGCTCAAGTCCGAAGACATGGATTTTGAGAGTAAAGATGATTATGACCGAGACGGGAACGGCCATGCTCAAGGTACAGTCTGTGGGGTCTGTGGTATTTTGGATGAGCCAGTCCTCACAGAGTGGGGAGGGGCGCGCGGCTTCTGAGTCACACCTGCCCACATTCCCTGTGGTTTAAGACCAGAGGTCACAGGCCTTGTCTGAAAGTGAGATAAGAGCTTAACTCTGATCATTCTAGAACATCGAGGATGTTATAAACAATTGTAGCACTGTTGCTGCATTAGCCGTGTGATTTGGGCAGGGCTTCTGTGCTGCTTTCTCTACGGTAGATGCTAGATGTGGTGTCGAGGGGAAGGAACTTGTTCTTCCGCTAGGCGAAGCCCTTCAAACCGGTTAAAGTAGAAAAGCCTGGGAATGTCAAGAACCTGCAGTTTTCTATAGGGGGGGAGTTAATTTTTCAGGAACTCCACAAAAATACAAATAAATGTGATCTTTATTAAGGTGAGAAAAGATAGTGCTATTTATTCTTGTCATTGTCCAAACCTTGTGATTCAATGTTGGTGCATTTGGTTTAGATTCATTTTAATAACAGGAATAAAAATAACAAAATTACAGGTAACTCAAAAATACAAATACATTTGAGCTTTTTAAAAAGGGAAGTCTTAGATAAGACTTTAAGTTAGGAGGACTTTTTAAATGTTAAGAGTCTAAATGACTCATATATCCCCTTGAAGGGATATAAATACCTTGATTGGAGATTCTGAGCAACAAGAAATGGTTTTTAACTTTTTTACTGTTGTGTTTACTTCTTCAGACCCAAGAGGGCATTTTAGAATGAACAAAAATCATTCTATTTATCCTTGTTATTGTCTCAAAAACCCCACAAAAGACAAAATCCCTGTTTGTGTCTGGCCTAATGCTGGGTGAGGTACTCAGGGATGTAGACAGACACAGCCTTCTCCTTCTGCAACAGTGACTTTTATATCACAGAGGGAAAGAGGGAGGGGAGCTTAGCTAAGCTTCCCTGCATGATCTAGCTTCCCTTTTATTGTAAGCTCCCTCACCTTTGTTTTCAGTCATTGTGATTAGTGACTCCCTTGAGACGGGTTCCAAACTCAAGTTAAAATTTACACACTAGCTAGGATAGTGACAGAGAGGCTACTGAAAGTAGTTTAATCGACTTGTAGCCCCAGCTGACCCAGGGCGAGCCCATCTCTGACCTTGTCCATCCTCAGCCTAGGCCACAAAGGATCATTGCCGTGTGTTAGATTATGAAACCCACGTTGTTTTTTGAGCCTTGTTGTGGGGAAAATCACCAAATAGTCTGTGGAAGTCCAGGCAGTGAAATGAGTGCAGAGTGTAGAAGAATATGGCTTAGAGGAGGAACATCTGTCCATCAATGCCCTGCGCAGTGTCAGCTTGCTGAGCTTCGGTGAGTGGCGCACGCACTCATGGGCGGGCCCCTTGTGCCAGCGCTTTTCAGAATGCTTTTGCAGACCTCAGAGGGGGTCCTCCACACACAGGAGACATGGAACAGGTGGGGCAGAGGGGTTGGTCTGTTTCTGCACCTGGAAGTCTGCCGTCAAGGAGCAGTAATTGGTACAGCTGTCAGGGCAGGCCCCCAGATCTCCTGGCTCTTTGTCCGGGGTTTTCTCTCACACATCATTACTTTTTCTTAAAACTCAAATCCAGCCTCTCTGCTTGAAACCTTTCAGTGATGCTCCCCACCGGATATAGAGTAAAATTCGAATTTTCTATCATGACCTACAGAATTCAGCATTACCTAAATGATTCTACCCTATACCCTCATCTTTGTACTTTCCCCCTGGAAGTGTCTCTTTAGTTCCTCAGCACGTCCAGAGTAACCATCGTCCTCCTCTTCTTGGTGTTCTCTCCTTCGAGAAGCCCTCCCTTCCACCAGCTCTTACTCCCTATCATGGCAGCTTGTTTCTTTTTATAGCACTTGCCACTGTTTATAGTTGTAATTTATTTATTTTTTTTAAGATTTTATTTATTTTTTGACAGAGAGAGACAGTGAGAGAGGGAACACAAGCAGGGGGAGTGGGAGAGGGAGAAGCTGGCTTCCCGCAGAGCAGGGAGCCCGATGCGGGGCTCGATCCCAGGACCCTGGGATCATGACCTGAGCCGAAGGCAGACGCTTAATGACTGAGCCACCCAGGCGCCCCTCTAGTTATATTCATTTATTATTACTGTTTTCTTGACTGTCTTTCCCCCATGAAACCGTTAAGAGTCTGAGGGTCAGGGCCACATCTGTCTTGTATATCCTTGAATCCACTGACCTAGCAAGGTCCTGTTCATGGTGAGAGGTCCCTGCAGCTCCTAGACTTGGTGCACACTCACAAGTGAAATCTCCACATTTCAAAGGATCGACATTCCTTGTCATTTCACAAGAAAAGAGGCTCACCACTTTTCCTGCACTGGACGTTTTGCTACCCTGTGTTCATTCCCTGTCATTCCCTCCCTTACCGGTAAGTGGGTCTTTAAAGATCCGTTTCACATTGATAATAAACTTTCACCAGTGAAACATAAAAGAATGAGTTGCATTTCCATTTCTTTCCATTAATGAAGTAATCTAAATGTTCTAGGTTTCTTTGCATCATTTTTGACATGAAGCAGGTCTATTTTACCTTTGTTGTAAGTTTCAGGACTTCTCATCCATCGTCATTAACATCAGCATCTTGCTGTGTTACGTTTCAAAGACTGCCTTCAGATGTATTAGTATTATAATGTTCAATTTCCTCTTGTCAGCTACGCCACATTTACAAGCCTCTCGGTGCTCATTCTGCTCTCAATCTTGGATACACAGGACAATCTCCTCTTTTCTTTTGTTGTTTTTGTTGGTGTGTGGATGCTGAATTATCACATGACTTGCATGGATAGCCCTAGAGAAAGGATCTGCATTTATGGCTTAACTGATAGGGTTCTTCTGGAAATAGCATGCTAATTAATGTTCAATTTCAAATAAGTTAGCACAGAATGGGCTAATTTTTTGAAAAGACAGATCAGGTGTCTTAATCATTCAGATCATTACTGTCTCCCAAGTACCGGATTAATTTTTTAAAGCCTTCTTTACAGATTACCCAGGGAAATATTCTGAAGAGGAGACCAAAAGCTCGACATCAGGCATTGCAGGAGACCTTGGGGATGACCTGCAGGAGGCTCGGGCTCCCACCATTGCTCAGCTGCTCCAGGAGAAGACCCTCTTTTCCTTCTCCGAGTGGCCAAAGGTACTCCCCAGAGCATGCATTCTCTACCCAAAGCATTCTCAGCTTGTAGAGTATTTCTGAGTATAAGCTCAGAGAAATGTCTAATATCTTGAAAAGGTGTTAGTAATGTCACATATGAACATTAAAGAAATACACACTCGACCATAAGATAAAACTGTCTTCGTATTTAAAGCACCGTGGCTTTAATTTTAGTTTTCATTGTCCAGAGCACAGAACTTATTTTAAGACTTGTAAAGTGAGTACATCTGAGTGCTTTTTTTTCTAATCAACTCCTTCTGGTTAGAAAACGTGACATTTGGTCTCTAGGGACTTTGAGAATTTGGGTAGCTCGGTGCTTACTCCTCTGAGCGTTTGGTCTTTTTTGTAGGATCGCGTGATAATCAACCGCCTGGATAATATCTGCCACGTGGTGTTAAAGGGGAAGTGGCCGTCCGGCCCGCGGTACGAGCCCTCGGGCACCCTGCCCCCGCCGGCGTTAAGCAGCAGTACTTGTTCTCGGGGGAGCCTCTCGGAGCCAGAAGCGACCGAACTCGGCTTCAGCGGGGGTGCAGCATTGGTGGCCCCGATCCAGAAGGTGAGGCCCCGAGCGCTGCGTCACTGTGACACGAGCAATGAACGATGCTTTGCACTTCGCAGTTGAGTCATTTCATTCAGCAAATACTTATTGAATGGATAGGGTTTTTTCCTTTTTTCTCTCTTTGGGCTTTTGGTTTTTCTCTTTGGTTTTTTTCTTTTCTTTTCTTTTCTTTTCTTTTCTTTCTGTAAAGTCACTGGTATTAATTGAAGAACTTAGATTTTATCCCGTAGGCAGCAGGGAGCTACTAAAATTTTGGAGCAGGGAAGTGCATGATGAAAGCAGGGTTTTACAGCTCGGCTGGGCTGGTGGGCAGGTTCTTGGGAGAGGAGGGTCGAGAAAGAAGAGGGCCAGAGGCTGGGAGGCCAAGTGGGGATCTGATGAAGAGATGAGGTCCTAGACCAGGTTAGTGCCAGAGTGGGTACAAACAAAGGGAAAGGGGCAGATGTTGGCAGGCATGACCTGATGACTAATAAACATACTAGGAGAGGGAGGCGTGAATGGATCAGTGTGTTCCGTACTTGGAAGACCGTGAGAATGATGGCAGCTGATAGAAATTAGGGAAATCAGGGAATGGGTTTTATAAACTCAGGCTTATAACTCAAGTTTAATTTGAGGTACATTGTTAGCACACTGCCTTTTTTTAATTTTTCCAGTGGATTCTGATGTACATCTGAGGTTGATTCCCTGGATTACGGTCTTGCAACTCCAGGGGTACTTCCTGGACCAGCAGCATTAGCAGCACCTGGAAACCTGTTAGGCACACAGAGTCTCAGGCCCACTGAAGTGGGATTGACATTTTAAGAAGCTATCCAGGTGAGGGCACCTGGGTGGCTCAGTCGGTTAAGCATCTGCCTTCGGCTCAGGTCATGATCCCAGGGTCCCGGGATGGAGCCCCATATCGGGCTCCCCACTCAGCGAGGAGCCTGCTTCTCCCTCTACCTCTGCCTGCCCATCACTCATGCTCTTCCCCTCTCTCAAATAAATAAAATCTTTTAAAAAACAAACTATCCAGGTTATTTGGTGCTAAAGTTTGAGAAGGCTTGAGTGGAAAAACGTCTAAGAATTGATTAGGAATCCTGCCAGGCCCGAGGAAGTCCGGGCTGGAGAAGGAGCTGCCGTTCAGCCACAAAAGTGGCATTCAAACCTCCATGTGTGTGTTTGCAGGAGACCTTCCTGGCTCCAGTATTCACAAAGGATGACCAGAAGCACAGACGTCCCTACGAGTTTGAGGTGGAGAGGGATGCAAAGGCCCGGAGCCTGGAACAGTTCTCTGCTACCCACGGGCACCCCCCCATCGTCCTCAATGGCTGGCACGGGGAATCCGCAATAGATCTCTCCTGCACATCAGAGGGGTCCCCGGGAGTCACGTCTCCTTTCCCAGTGAGCGCCAGCACCCCTAAGATCGGGGCTATCGGTTCACTTCAAGGAGCTCTTGGCATGGACTTGTCTGGGATTCTGCAAGCTGGCCTGATCCATCCAGTGACGGGACAGATTGTCAATGGAAGCCTCAGAAGAGATGACGCTGCCACAAGGAGGCGGAGGGGGAGACGGAAACATGTTGAAGGAGGAATGGACCTCATCTTTTTGAAGGAGCAGACACTTCAGGCAGGAATCTTGGTGGGTATATGAGACCATTAGGTAAAAACCCTGCCCTTTCCACTCTGAGTAATAAACCTTTCCTCAGACACACGAAATTTTAATCTGTGGCTCTTTTATCCCTATTTCAAATGTCCTACTTAGTTTCTCTTGTTATAAGTTGCCCTCAGTCTTTTCTAGAAACAAGTTTAATCCATTACAGGCCCTTCACCTGCATGCAACCTGAAGATATGAGCCAGGGGTCTTGCCAAATACAAACAGCCCAGACCCTCCAGTGTTTCGGAAGAGCTGCTGGTGATTGAGTAAAGCAAAGCAGCAGGTTGGGTTTGTGGCAATGGTACTCGGGGTTAGTGGGTTTTCCGGGAGCTGGGGTTCAGGAGAAGGAACAGGGGTCAGGATCCTGAATGTTGATCCTGGCTCTACGACTTGACCTTCTGGGCTACATGGGGCATGCCACCGTGCCTCACTGTGCTCCCCTATGAAGTGGGCCTGTAGCATCTCCCCCAGAGGGCTTCACCAGCATCACGCCAAGACGCCCTCAACCCAGAGGAGATCATTGTAAACAACAGACAAGGTTAGAAGCTGTATGCCTGGCCAAGAGAGATCCCCTTAGACTTTGCTTCATGTGTCAAAGACAGCTGACTTCCCTTTGTGTTTTGTTTTTTCTCATTTATTGAATTTCAAGCTCCAAAACAGGAATCACATTTCATGTTTTCTTATTTTAAAAGGAATAATAATAACCAGTATTCATTGAGTGCTTGACATGTGCCAGGCACTGTGTTCAGGTTTTAGTGTGACTGTCCTATTTGATCTTCACAACTCTGTGAAGGTGTTGTTATGACTCCAATTTTATAGATGAGGAAACTGAGGCTAATAAGCATTGAATAATTTGCCCAAGATTATCCAGTAAAGTGGCAGGTCAGGGAACCAAACCAAAGACTTTGTTCGCTGGCACCTAAGAGCTTTATTATTAAGCTCTGTTGTTTGGTATATTTTAAAAGTTTTGTCTTCCTCTTAGACTTCCTATATAATTTGGGAGGCTGAAGTGACAGGTTCTTTCCCTTCCCAATCCTGCAAGCTTTTAAGACAGTTGTCTCGTTTTTTAGAAGTGCAAAGCCATAGTTTCTCCATAGTGATCATAGAGTATTTTTAAAAATGTATTATGCAGACATTTATTTAGCACCACATTGTACTTTGTAGACCCTGTCATAGGCATTGGGAATACAGAGATGAGTAAGACAGGCATTCCACCTATAGAGGGAGCAACAGGTAAGTATATTGCAGTGTGGCATTTCCTGGTGTTGGAAAATCTGTGAACGGGGCGGGGGGGGTGCGGTGTGCAGGGAGTGGAGTGGCCTGGAACTGTCCGTGATGGTGACAAAGGAGGTAACACAACTTGAGCAGACAAGATGGAATTAAAGGTCACCAAGTAGACAAGAAGGGGAGAGGAGCATCAGGTAGAGGGAACGCCAACACATGCAGGAGCCCATGTGTGGGTCAGTAGTGTGAAGGATTCTTTATTTTTTAAAGATTTTATTTATTTATTTGACAGAAACAAAGCGAGAGAGGGAACACAAGCAGGGGGAGTGGGAGAGGGAGAAGCAGGCTTCCCGCGGAGCAGGGAGCCCGATGCGGGGCTCGATCCCAGGACCCTGGGATCACGACCTGAGCCGAAGGCAGACACCCAACGACTGAGATACCCAGGCGCCCCTAGTGTGAAGGATTCTTACTCAAGTACCCCAGCATAGTAATACTCAGGTGGAAACGGATGGGAAGATACAGAGAATATGTTTTCCTTTCAGAAACTGGTTTTCATTCTGTCATGCTTAACTGCACATACTTGTTTCTCTTTCGTCCAGGAAGTCCATGAAGACCCAGGGCAGGCCCCCCCGAACACCTCACACCCTGAAGGGCCAGTGGCTGCCACTTCGGCCCCCGAGCCAGCCCCAGCAGCCGGCAGCCAGGCGGAGAAAGCCATTCCCAGCAAGAGTCTGCTTGACTGGCTGAGGCAGCAGGCCGACTACTCCTTAGAGGTTCCCGGTTTGGGAGCAGTAAGTATTGTCCGTGCTGCCTGCCACTGCCATTTCCTTCCTGCTGACTTGCCGCTGTGTTTGCTAAGGAGCGTGCTCGGGGAGGCCAGGAAATTTGACAGAGATCTGCATCAATGGAGAACATCATTTTCAAGTTTGGGTTTTTGTCTTTAAGTTTAAATTGTGATGAAGTTTTCTAGTAACAGAAATCACAGCCATGTCAGAATGCAGTGCCAAGTTGTGTAAAATCTTATGAGGGCAGGACTTTCCTAAGCTCAGCCCCCTTACCCCCCCCCCCCGAATTACCACACAAGGTCCTAAGTGCACAGAGAAATCTTTAGTTTGCATAAACACTACCACTTCGGGCATGTGTTCTGTGTATTCTTTCCAAGTTAATACATTACCACTTTGTAGGGAAGGGTGTCTGTTCTTAGTTTGAGTTACACCTTTGCAACTCTTCCTTCAAGTCCTCTTACTGCCTTTGCCCGAGATCCTTCAGATTAGAAATCTGTAGAAGAGGGCTCTCAGCACTGATGTCTCTTCTTGGTGTTTCTTTTCTCATGTGCTCACCTACCCCACCACCATCTTTGTCCTGGGTACATCTAACTAATAAGATGTGGAGGTAGAGAGCTCAGAAGAGGAGGAGGAGAACGCATTCACAGATGCATACCCTCCAAAGAGAGACAAAGCCCGCCAGATAGGTAGCAGCAGAGAGAGAATCTGGGGAATGAGGAGGAGAAGAAGGCCAGGGAGTAAGCAGTACACTGAGAGACCGCTGGGCCAGCTCCAGTCTGACCCAAGGGGCCCACACAACCTGTTCTCTAGCTTGCTGCAGGAATGCCATTGTTTAAAGAAAACCTAGGTCAGGGCCCAGTAGCACTGTCCTTCGTCAACCTAACCTGACGGGGTCCTGTACGGAGGGCCATTAATGAGAGAAGAGCAAGGGTGCCTGGGTGGCTCAGTTGGTTAAGCGACTGCCTTCGGCTCAGGTCATGATCCTGGAGTCCTTGGATCGAGTCCCGCATCGGGCTCCCTGCTCGGCAGGGAGTCTGCTTCTCCCTCTGACCCTCCCCCCTCTCATGTACTTGCTCTCTCTCATTCTCTCTCTCTCAAATAAATAAATAAATAAATAAATAAAATCTTAAAAAAAAAAAAATGAGAGAAGAGCAAAACTAGCTGAAAAGCACCACCCTCATCAGAAGAATCTGTGACAGGATGTTTTGTAATGTTGGTTTCCATTTGCCTCCTAGAATTTTTCAGACAAACCAAAGCAGAGGAGGCCACGCTGTAAGGAACCTGGAAAATTAGACGTCAACTCCCTGAGTGGGGAAGAGAGGGTTCCCGCTGTCCCCAAGGAGCCAGGACTAAGGGTAAGGAAGAGGGACGTGTCCCAGTGAAGCCAAGCCTTGCAGACTCAGGGAAAGCTCCAGCTGGGAAGTGGGGAGCCAGACTATGTCTTCTCAGATGACAGAGGCCAGCACGGGAAGTTGATAAGGAGCATTAACTGGTACTGGGGCCTCTTGAGCAGCAGTAGGACTTCCCGTAGTCATTTGTTTTCAACCTTTACCACCAAAACTTTTGGTTTAAATTTGTACTTAAACCATTTCCAAAACCTGATATCCGCCGCCCACCCCCCATCCCATTGCAGTGTAGAGAGTTCAGGGAAATATACCTGAACCCCTATCAGGAGTCTGTTTCTAGAGTTAACAAATGTCATTATTGGAAATTTCCATTTAAGACATTTCCTCCTAGTCCCATCCTCACTGGCAATGAAAAACAGCTGACACCAAGCACCGCCCTTCTCCTCATATAGAATCCTGAGCCTGGAAGAGACTTCAAAAGACATCTGTGAAATAGTTGTAGTCCAACGCATCTGAGTTAATTATAGTTCACAGAGGAGGACAGATTTGGAATAGAAAAGTCATAACCTCTAGGGGGCAGTAATAACATTTCAACCTGAAAATGTGTCAGGCTTGGGCAAATTATACGTAAATGTGCTTTTAACCTCCTAAAAGTGCGTCCTCCCCAAACAGGGAGCCTCTGAAGAGCCTCGTGGGCATCTGTTCTTCTCGGGTTGCCCCCCTAAATGCACAGGCTTTCCTGAATGCCTTCTCTTCGAGGCTCTGCCAGCTGCAGATTTCCTTGGGTGTGAATCCCCCTCTTGGTGGGACTGCCTGGATGTGATTTCTTTTTCAGCTCCAGAAGACCACCCACCCTAGTCATTTGCTCCTTTTGCAGAAGAAAGTTAATGTTTTCAAGGAGTCTGTGACTGATGTTGTCGCCTAGTGGATTGTTCTAGCGGCTCTGCAGACAAAACTGCTCTCCCTCATCCCCACCCCCCACCACGGCCACTCCAGGAATGGGGCTGGGACCCCGTCCCAAGGTTGGCTGCTTGTTAGGAAGCTCATCACACTGGAAAAGCTGCCCTTTTGCCCCTCTCTGGCTTTGTTGTCAGAGAGTGTCTCTGCCACCCCTTTTCCTAGACCTGCTTATGTTGTGCACACTGATGCAGCTGTCATCCTTAGCCCGACTCACTTTCTCCAGCCCTCAGGCCGCCTCCCCACCTTCTCCCCGCGTTTCCGCACACGCTGTCACGTAAAAGTCATCCAGGAGAGACTCCGGTCCTTGCTTTGTTGTAGCCTCTGAGCTCTTGCTGTAGAGACATGTCAGAAAAACCACATGGTTTCCTCCTCCTTTCTACATGTCTAACAATTTCCCTCATGTTCTCTGGAAATTAATGTTCACTTTCCTATAGACGCTGATCCCTTGCCAGAAAACCCATTTCTAAGCTGTTCTTGCAAGCCAGCCTTTTACCAGAGATGCACTTTCCCTCCTTTGTTAAATAAACACAGTCCCTGCCTCGGAGGCCCTCGTCCTGCAGTAAGGCAAGATGAGGAAGCCCTTGTCCACCTGGTCCTCAGGGCTGCCCGGCCTCCCCAGTGGGGAAGAGCCAGCACGGCCCAGACCGCAACACTCTGCTTGATTCCAGGAGGACCCGTCTCCCACAGCTCCTGCTGGGACAGGAGCCCTCTCGGGTATGCTCCGCTCGTTCTCCCACGGAGACACCCCCCCCACCCCCCCACCCCGCTTCTGGAAACAGATTCAGATCAAGAAACCTCTTCCTTCCCTCAGCCCCTTCTGCTGCATGTGCTGTGGCTCAGCTGGGTGAGCTCCACGGGCTAGAGTGAGGCTGTGGGACTCAGCTTCCAGGACGGCCAGTACATAGTGGTCGCTCGTGAGATGTGTGTGGGCACGTGCACATGTGGATGGAAGTTACATTTGTTTCATAGATGTGTGTGTAGGTTTTTTGTTTGTTTCTTGTTGAGCCATTGGACAGTAACTTGCAGAGATGACCCGTCACCCCTAAATACTTCAGTGTGTGCCTCCTAAGAATATTTTCCTACGTAACTATTACCATTATCACACATGGGAATATTAACAATATTTAATATTTAGTCCACATTCAGATTTCCCCAGTTGTCCCAAAAATGTCTTTTTTTTTTAAGATTTTATTCATTTATTTGAGAGAGTGAGCGAGTGACAGAGAGAGCTTGAGAAGAGGGGAGGAGCAGAGGGAGAAGCAGCTCCAAGCCTGACATGGGGCTCAATCCTGGGACTCCAGGATCATGACCCAAGCCAAAGGCAGATGCTCAACGGACTGAGCCACTCAGGCACCCCCGAAAAAATGTCTTTTAGAAAAGCTAGTTTTTGTTTTATTTTGTGTTTAGGAATTTTGACTTCATTACCACACACACCTCCTCCTTTGGTTGTTAGGTCTCTCTTCACTCAGTGAATGTTTGTTGGCTAAATCTCCTAGCCTTCCTGGGAGGAGTAGGGAAGTTTTGGTCAGCACCTTCTTCTCTACCTCTGTCCAGGAGTTAAGTTTGAGAGCTGGAATCCATAGGCTTTGGAATAAATGCTACCCTGTGTTGGTGAAGATGTCTTCTTGAGTTGGAATGCCCATGTAATCATCTGGAAAAGCAGATTTGCCTCCAGTGTTGCTTAACATCTGACTCTCCTTTTCCTTGCTCTCCTTGCCCTCTCCCCAGGCTTCCCCTGGAAGAGGAAGCAGGTTTGCTCTCAGGGTATAATTACCAGGAGGGAGAGCTGCCAAATCCCAACTTGGCCACTGTGTGTGGTCGCTGAGCTGCTGGGAGGGGCACCTGATGGGGTGGGCAGCAGCTGAGCGGCTAGAGGGACTCTTGCTCCCACAGGAAGTGGTAAGATCCAACTTCCTCTGCCAGCACCCCTCTTGGTGTTGCTGTAGATGAGGAGCTGTTCCCTTTACCCCCGAGACCTTTCTGCTGCTGCTCTTCCAATCTGAATGCCTCCTTGGCAGGTTCCCGGTTCTGAGAGGGCTCAGCACTCTACATCAGAGGCTCACAATAAGGGCAGGAAAGGGATGCTTCTGGACGTCCTGATACCTGAGGAATATGTCAAAGATTCCTGCGGGATGCAGGCTGGTCTTGATGAGCAATTTAGCCCTAGATGCCCTGATGAACTCAAAGTATTTTAAAGAACATCTGATTTATAGCAAGATGTTTGAAAAGAAGATAGAGGCATTGTTCATCAAGCCCTGGGTTTGCTTCCCAACAGAAAGACTTCTAAACACACCCTCCCCACTAGAGAGTTATGAAGGAACTTTGTGGGTATAAAGGAAAAAGACACACCTCGGCACCTTTCCCTGGCTCTTGGCTGTGGGTGGGCTACAGGGAAGAGGTGTTGGAAAAGCCCAGTGGTCCTGTTGGGGCTCCCCTGGCTGGGGCCCTGGGCTGAGGTGGTGCACATCAGAAGTTCTGCTTTTAATCTGGCCCCAGTCCGTCAAGCCCTACTCTCTCTTCAGAAATAGGAACCAGGCAGGAAGTTCTCCCGAAGTGATCATCCCCAGAGCCAGAGTGAGCGGCTGTCCCGCGAAGAGCAGGCGCCATCCCATGTGGTGTGGTGCGACAGTGTCTGCTCTTCCCTGCGCAGCTGTGCCCCGGGGCAGATCCCTCCTCCTCTCACTTTGTGAGAAAGAATGGGCACAAAACATGACAGAATCACATGTCTCCCCAGTCTGCTATTCTAAACCAAGGCTTTTTGAGAAGAGTTTTCTTAGAGTCGACCATCATAAAGCTTTTTGCCCATGATCTGGTTTTTCTTTTCTTTTTTTTTTTTTTAAGATTTTATTTATTTATTTGACAGAGAGACACAGCGAGAGAGGAAACAAGCAGGGGGAGTGGGAGAGGGAGAAGCAGGCTTCCCGCGGAGCAGAGAGCCTGATGCGGGGCTCGATCCCAGGACCCTGGGATCATGACCTGAGCCGAAGGCAGACGCTTAACGACTGAGCCACCCAGACGCCCCTGATCTGGTTTTTCTTGAATATTCTTTAGAACATTGAAGGACAGAGAGCTTCAAAAATGACATAATTCTTGGGGACTTGGGAACATTCAGATACTCGTTTTTCACGTGTCTACAAATCTTTAAATTCTTTATAAAATGGCTGTGATGGTTGTACTGACTCCATGGGGTTGGTGGGATCGCTAATTGAGATAATGCAGATGGAGCCCTTGGCATCTGCCTGACCCAGGGTAAAAGCACATTGAGTGGTGCTGTCGTTGCTGCCGCTGCTGTTCCTTTCCCCACCCCCGCTCTGTGATGGCCACCGGTCGCCAGTTTCCCATACTGCCCAGGCTGCCACGAGCGTGGGCCCCATGCTTCCCTTCCCAGCTGCCACCCCACGTGTGCTCACAGAGAGCCTGAACCCATGTTACCCACCAGCCCCATCCTACCGCTGCCCCTTTGAGCAGAGATGTGTTGGATTCTAGGGATTAGACTTCTTTAACAGGAAGAAGAGAGGCCGTGAGCTGAATGGAGATGCCAGAGCTCCTGGATTAAAGTCCAAAGTGGGAGTACTTAGGAAGGGTGTGAAGAGCCAACTCTTACCTGTTCTCAGGCTTGGCTGCCAGTCTCAGCCCTTAAGTATCTGTGGACTCCCTGACTTCCTGTCTCCTTTAGCACTCCGGCCCTAATAAAAGTGTTTTTCTGGCCCTTCGGCAGTCTCTTGGTGTGACCTGCACCTGCCTTCTGGCTCCAAGTATGCTCCGTTAAGGACTGCAGCTGGGTCCCTGCGTCTGAGCCTCCGAGTAAGCTGGTGGAGTCTCAGCTGTGTCTTGCCACATCCCCGCTCCCTGCTCCAGACTTGCAGGGAGGGAAGGCGTTGATACAAACGGCGGAGAATCCTGAAAAGGCAGCAGACGCAGCTGTAGGGAAGCATGGGCTCCAGCGTCAGCAGCGCCGGCAGCCTCACTGCTGGGCCCTCCCAGCTCCTGCTTCTGTGCAGGGGCCCGTCCCCGTTTCCACATTCCAGCCCAATGGGGATGTGCATCCCCAGTGCAAACCCAGGGTTATGGATCCCCCATGGCCACTCTGAACATCTTGGGCCTCACCATTGCTGTGATCAAAGGGAAGGTGGTAGAATTAACAGCAGCTTTGTAACAGGAACAGGGAGGAGGAGGAGGAGAGAGGACTTCAGGGGTCCACAGGGAAGGGCTTTTTCTTTATGGTCCTCTGTACAAAGAAGACCGAGAGTGCACAACAGCAGTGTTAGGATAGCGCGCCTCGGACGCCGTGGACACACACCTCCTTGATGAGCCGAATGACAGCAGGGCGGAGTGGAGGCCGCGGAAAGGAGAGGGGGCGGGGCTTTCGGGCACGGTCCCGAGAGAAGTCACGCCCTTTCTCTGGGGAAAACATTTGATAGATTATTCATGCCATTTTGGAAGCAGATTCAGAGTTAGAGACATTGTGATTGCAGCGGTGGTTTCGTTCTCTCCCCGCAAGCAGGCGGTAAGCTCTGGCGGAGCAGGCTCTCCAGCTTGTGCTGGTGCATCCTCGTGGCCCCGCAGGGCTCCTGAGCCACAGGCACCAGGGAAGGAGCGAGTAGGCTGCAGCAAGCCCACTGCCAGGCTGGCGCACTCCCTCCGCCCCGCGGCCTGCGGCTCACTGATGCCGGGGAAGCGGCAGGCTCCCGGACTCTAGCGAGCCGTCCAAGGAGGCGGGGGTGCAGTGTGCGCATGCGCAGTGCCGGTGACCCGCGTGCCAGCCCGGCCGTGCGCCCCAGGCGCGGTCACAGTTCAGGCCGCGTGGCGCTTAGCCCTGGAGGTCTTAGCCCTGTTGGGCCCTCCCACCTCCTGCTTCTGTGCAGGGGCCCGTCCCTGGGAAAGGGACGGGCGGGAAAACGGGCCCAACACAGCCCTCTGATGAGAGCAAAACTAGGTGATCTCCCTTAAGGGAACCCAGCACGTCACTTACTGTGATGCATTTCCCCGGCACCATTCAGGAGTGCCCTTGTGCCCTCGGCGCGCAGTAGACACCCTGTTCGGTGTCTGAGTGGTTGTCCTCCAGGAGCTTAGGACCCAGAGGGAGTGGGGTGCGCACAGTTACCAACCTCCCTTTGGCGAGCACTTCTTCCCGTGGACCGGGTAAGGTCTTGCACACTTCGTTTTCGGTAACTGCCAGATAGGTGTCCTGTCCTTTCCAACCAGAGCTCTGAGAGGCCAACTGATGGGGCCCAAGTCCCATAGCTAGTTATGGGGTCAGGACCAAGATTCAGGTCCCACTGCTGCAAAGCCCTGTCTCCCAGCTTCTGTTGAAAACCTTCCCGTGCCTTGAGGTTTGGTCAAGGGTGCACAGCCACAAGTGTCAACTAAGACGTGGGTGTCCTTAGCGGGGCTCTAGCTCCCAGCGCTCTGACAAGTTTCTCCAGAACGATGCCGCCTGCATGTGGTGGTTGGTGGCTCTCGGCCTCTGAGAGAGTGACTTCAGACGGTCAGGTGAGAGCCGGCAAGGCAGGTAGGCAGGGGGTCCCCACTCGGGACCTTCATGTGGCTGGGACAGGATAGGCCAGTGCAGAAGCCTGGTCTTCCTCCCCAGCCCATCACCCGCCATCCAGTAACCTTCAGCCTTTTCTGTTTCTTTGTCCTTTTTCAGGGCTTTCTCCCAGAAAACAAGTTCAATCACACCCTGGCTGAGCCTGTTCTTCGAGATGCGGGCCCCCGCAGAAGGGGGCGGCGGCCTCGGAGCGAGCTCCTGAAGGCTCCTGCCCTCACGGCGGACTCTCCCTCGGGGATGGGGCCATTGTTCATGAACGGACTGATCGCTGGGATGGACCTGGTAGGGCTCCAGAACATGAGAAACATGCCAGGCATCCCCCTCACGGGCCTGGTGGGGCTGCCGGCGGGCTTTGCTGCCATGCCCGCAGGGGAAGAGTCCAGAAGCACCCTGAGCATGCTGCCCATGGTGCTGCCAGGAATGGCTGCGGTGCCCCAGATGTTTGGCCTCGGGGGCCTCCTCAACGCGCCCATGGCGACCGCCTGCACCTCCACCGCTCCAGCGCCTCTGTCAAGCACAACAAAAAGTGGTCCACCGGTGCCCGAAAAGACTGTAGAGGACAAGCCAAGTAGCCATGATGTAAAGTCGGACACATTGGCTGAAGACAAGCCTGGTCCTGGTCCATTTTCTGATCAGTCCGAACATGCAATAACCACCAGTAGTCCTGTGGCTTTTAACCCATTTCTCATCCCAGGAGTGTCTCCTGGACTGATTTACCCATCCATGTTTCTCTCCCCTGGCATGGGCATGGCTCTGCCCGCAGTGCAGCAGGCCAGACACTCGGAAGTTACAGGTCTGGAGAGCCAGAAGAGGAAGAAGAAGAAAACAAAAGGGGACAGCCTGAACCCCAACCCCGAGCCCACTCCCAGGTCCGAAAAGGAGCCAGGCAGCGATCAGAACTGCCCCGAATCCAGGACCCCCGGGCCCCCAGACAGAGAACATGCAGCCCAGGCCAGGGAAGGGGGCCTCAAAGACTCTAACAGTGACACCAATTAGAACTTTTTCATTTAAGAAATGATTGTGACTTGTAAGTTTCTTATCCCATAAAGGTTTGTTACTTCCTCACTTCACCTTCATAAGAACCTGTGTTTCCATAAGTAATATTACCTACCTAATTTTCTGAGAACTGTGGTCACAGATGTTAATAGTCGCAGGGTCTTGCCACTTCGTTAGCTGAGTGTCGTCGACCCAGTGTAGGAGGCACCAAATGCTCATTCTGTTACCCAGTGGTTCATTCCAGCAGCCGTAGCTGATACAGCACTTGGTGACATGCCCCGCCCCCACTTCTCCAAGTTTCCCCCTTATTTGAGGAGGGACAATGGCAAAAGAAAGCTGTCTAGGGATTTACCATTAAAGGGCCGAAGAACAGAGACCGTGAGGAGCTCTTTCTTTCCATGAGCTGTGTTGAATGGGAAGCATGTAATGGGGAAACCAAAAAGCACAGAAAAAGGAAGTGCTGGTGCATATTTTTTAGTTCAAATATTTCCCTATTTTATCATGATGACTAAATGAATAGTATAGACAGAAGTATATAACTAATGGTTGAAAATGCATATATATTCATTTCTTTATAAAACAAAACCTTACTGGTAGTAACAGGACATCCCCCCTCATGGTTTTTCAGACACGTGCAGCAAGAAGAAATACTGACTAGGCATTATTTTATACATGTGTGTGCTCTCTCCCCCAAGTTAAAGGATCACTCTCAGTTTGAAAAAGCTTTACACACCCGGATTTCCTGCCGGCAGTGGGGGCGGGCGAGGGGCTCGCCCTCCGTGGGGCCGCACGCTGCTCATAAGCACACGGCTGCCATCTGCTCACCTCGTTCTCAAGAATCTCTCCGGCCGCTACCAGGGCCCTAGCGGGTTTTTACCTTGTGCTTCCCTTCACCAAGAATAAGGCTCTTTCTGGAGCCTGGGAGAGTCTCGTCACTCAACACTTTTACACCTTGCTAGTCCCTTCGTCAGAATTATTTGAGGTTGTCAGAACATGTGTGCGCCACCTTTTATAAAACGACTGTGAACGTTTGTTTCTCCTCTCTGTTTTTTTCTCTCTTCGGTTTCCATTTTGCAGTTGGACCCAGATTCCAAATCACGTTAGCCGAGACGGTTGCAAGTTAACATCATTTTCCCTTCTTCCTCACTCGGGAAGCCCCTGCCTGAGGGGCCCTCATCCCACTTTCTGTCCCTTCCCACTTGTGTTCCATCCCTCCGGAGGGTCTTACTCTTTATCGACAGTTCACACTCTGAGACTTGAATTAAGCTCATGGTTCAGGACTCTGGGGGCACAGGGCTGTGCAGGACCGTTGGAAATGTTGGAAGTGTTACTAGTACCAGTTTCACTTTGTATTGTCACAATTTACTGTATTTTTTACTTTTTCTGTTACCGTTTTGCTAATTTATCAGAAGGTCCAAAAGTTTGACATAACTGTTTCAGTTTGCATTATTTATTTATGATGCTTTTGTCATTGTCTTTTATACATTTGGGATTATAAATTATGTAAATGTTAAAATGAGCATCTCAAGGAAGTCTGTTAAATTGTGACCAGAAAAAAAAAAAAAAAAATCAGTCCAGATGTATTTTCAAACAGTGGAGTCCTGGCGTTATGAATCAGAGATAAAAATCAGAAATTCTGTAACTGATCGCATTAGTATGAAGAAAGAATCCAGTGATTGAGCAAATCCTATTTAATGACATCTTTGTAGCATAGATGGTCTATAATGCTGACAACAGATTTCTTAGAAATGCTGCTCTCTATTTAACTAACATTTTGTTCAGTTTTGCCTCCAGTGGAAGCAGAAAGGGTTTTTTCAGCTGTTAAATCCTAAAAATCAATATAATTTATTTATGTAAAAAAAAATCACTCAATCGATATATTTTTGAACCTTTTAAGTACTAATTTTCTTTTTATCAAGTAGAAAAAAAATGTATTTGCCCTAAATCCTTAAAATACAAATGCTATAAAAATTCATGTATCTTGAAAGCCTTACTGCAAATGAGTATTATAGACATCCAGCAGAGTCTGGGTTTCCCTTTGTTGTCGTCGTTGTTGTTTTGTATGGAAAAGCTGCTTTCCCCAGGTTCCACTTAGAACCTCCAGTAGGTCACAGGGTTCAATATGGATTTGATTTAAAAACCCACCAGCATGCTAAATCCCTTGTTATATCTTACCGAACCTGTATGTTAACTCTCTGGGTGTTTAGGCTTATATTTGACTGCTATTGTGTCCCTGTTTGCAAAATGAAAATGACACTCTGTGGATTATTTGCTCTGTAAGGCATAAGTGCTTCTTATGATTATTTTGACGTTTCCAAGAGCAAAAGCCAAATTTAAACTCTCTTCAGCAAACTTGAGCCTTTTCATCTAAATTCCATGTCACTCACAGCCATAACTTTCCTTGGTCATTCTTCACCCCGTGTCTCACATAATAAATTGTCTGTGGTCTTGATCCTGGATTTAAAAAAAAAAAACAATTTTAAAAGTCAAATTCAGTGGCACTTGGATGTCTCTTGCTGCCTGGGCCTTGTATGAATATATCCTATGCACACAGCAGTCCACGATCTTTCCGAGGTGCCCAGTTTGTTCTGGACACACTGTTGGGGGCTTGTTAAATACTCATTCATGGGGATGGATTGACCTGATCTCTTGACCTACCAGAACACCCGGTTAAGACACATGCCACAGAAGGGAGCACAGCCAAGTACCTGCTTCCCAGCCTTGGGGCCTGAATGCTCACAGCTGATGCCTCAACTGCGCCACTTTATTAAACCCTTTTCTAGAAGCCCCCCCTGCCTCAAATCACACCTGGGACTTCGCAGTGGCGGGGGGGGGGGGGGGGGCGGGGACCTCCGTGGGATCGGAACAGCCTCGAAAAAACAGGAATGCCTCGGTAACTGGAGTCCTTAAGGCTTGTTAAGGATTTGGTGGTCCTTAGCTTTGGGAAGCGTGACTTCTGGAGCCCCAGAAGGACTGTGAAGTTATCAGTGAGGCTGGCAGGAGACCCACCAGTTTCGCCCTTGTCGGGTCCCTAGATGGCAGCTGAATGGCGCAGAGGATCCCTGAGGCGTTGTTCGCTAAGACCTCAGAGTCCTCTGCTGCGGTGTTTCAAGTAAGGATGTACTACAGCCTTTCTAGACCTCCAGTCCAGATGTGCGGAGCCCTCATTCCGGGCAGAGTAATAATTTATGCAGAATGAGCAGTAAAGAGGCTTGGTTTCACTCTTGACCCCGGAGCCTGCCCCAGTAGATTCTGCCTCTGCGAGGGCAGAGGAATGCAGTTAGTTTAGTACGTCGGGCTGGTGTTGCGGTGTTTTGTGTGTATTTGCCGTAAGTGACCTCATTCGTCTTCAGAGCGTCTTGGTTGCTGAGTAGAGGGACGCTGGCATCCAGGCTGCCAAATGAAAGCCAACAGAAGGCTCAAGGCTGTCTCATCAATCACAGAGGACAGAGCTGGGGCTAGAGCCCTTGGTCCCACCAGCCTGAGGTTGAACAGGCCAGCCTTTGTGATGCCCATCTGGGACCCCCTCAACCTCGGAGACCAGATGTGACTGAGTGACACTCGGAAAAATGGGCACCGGGGAAAACGGAACAGTTTTGCCACACCCTCTGGAAAACTTTATGCTTGATTCATTTATAGAAAATTCCTTAAAATGGTTTCTTGCAAGAATTACTGTTCATTCGCCTGGTCTGGAAACCAGAGGAGGATCTCTTTCTTGGGTCAGAGTGGGGTTCACTGAGCCCAGTGACGAGCAGCTTGGTTCCAGACCATGGCTGCTCAGAACTCGGGCTTATGCTGCTCCTAGTGCAGATTCGGCGGGGTCTGTGGGGTGAGCTGGGAAGTAAAGGGAAAGGGGTGAACTAAGTACAGCCCCCGCGAGGGAGGTGTTCTGGGCGATCGGTTTGGACGTGACTGAAGGTGGGCCCTCTGGAGACTGTCCTGTTGTCAGTTCTGGCTCAGCCCTTGCCGGAAGATGAAGGGACCCCCAAAATGGAGAGAGGAGGCAAAGGGGAGAGAGATGTGGACAGAGACCACGTCCCTACCTTCTCCAAGCCTGTTTCCTCATCTGTAGAGCAGGAAGAAGTCTAACTCGCACCTAAAGGGTTGTTGATGGGGTTGATGACAATGACCAACATCCAGTGCTGAAAACTAGGCTTGTACCTGAGTCGTGTGTCTTTGCTGATTTTGAGTAGCTGGTGAGGGGAGGAGCACCAGTCCCCTGGAAAAAGGGTAATCAAATCAAGGATGTAGTGGGGGAAATCAAGGATAAGGAAGGTCTTGCTCCAAGCCCCCAGATCCTCCTGGATCTGTGGAGCCTCCTTGAGTATAGAGTTGCCAGATGGAGGGGGAAAAAAAGACGCCCAGTTAATTTTAATTTGATACACTGATTTTCTTGGTATAAGTATATCCCATGCAGTATTTGGTATGTACTTACTAAAAACTTTTATCTGGAGTTTGAATTTAACCAGCCATCCTGTATTTTCTCCGATAACCTCCCTCAATGTAATAGTGCACATTTACTAGGCACTTCCTTGACTTGGGGCTTATTCTAAGAGCTTTGTGGCCATATTCTCAACCCCTTCAATAATTCAAAAATCCCCAATTTACATATGAGAGCACTGAGGCCCAGAGAGGTGAAATATTCCAGTCACCCAGCCGGTACCTGGCAGAGCTGAGATTTGGGGACCCAGGAAGATTTCAGAGCCATTAGCTGAGCAGGGGATCGGGATCTAGTCTGAGGCTTGGAGCAAGCCACCCCTCTAAGGCAGTTTTGGGAAATAGGATGAAAGGAATGATGAGCAGGGGAAGGGGCCATTCTGGTGCCAGCCACGCTGAGCCAGTTACCCCGGGGGAAGGGGTCTCCTTCCCATCCGGCTGCGCTAACCTAGGGGTGTTCTTGGAGTCTCATTCTTGGCTCCGACTCACCTGCCCAGGTGAGAGGGGCCACATGAGAAGCAGCATCCAGTCTTAGAAAGAAGGGGCAGGGGGTGTGTAACTTCTCAACTGGAAGGGCCAGAGGGTAGTCCGGGGCTGAGAGGAGGGGCAACTCGCCAATGACAGCAACCCATCTCTAAAGGCTGGGGCCGAATGTCTGCTGCAAGGTTTGCGTAAGCAGGACCAGAAATCCCCGCTGGGAGAGCTTTGATCCAGCTTGTTGGTGTGTAGTCTGCTCACCCCTCGCCTCAGGGTGTCCATGGATTGCCCACCACCACTGCCCTGGGTGCAGCAGGACCCGCCTGGGAAGGGGGAGGTGACACAGCGCCCTGCCTGCCGGGCCCCGGCTGTGACCCTCCGCCCAGGGCAGCCTGCCTCCTGGCTGCCCAATCAGTTCTGCCCACTGTGCTTGGCCTTGACCTGCGGGAGCTCATCCCACAGCGTGTCCTCCACATGAGGACAAGGCTCAGGCAGGCTGTCACCTGCCTTCAGCTGGAATTCAGAGGTGGGTCTGACGGCAGGAGCACAGACCCGACGCTGGCCCAGCGTGGAGTCCACAGAGCTCAGCTGTCGTCTGTTTCTGCGTAGCCCACGGGCCGAGAGTGCACTTGACGCTGTTCAATAATGGAGAAATCAAAAGATGAAGGCTATTTCATGACACGTGAAAATCATACCAAATTCCAATTTCAGAGCTGGGAGCACAGCCACACCCACTCCTTTCTGTCCCATCTGTGGCGGCTTGTTGAGAGTCGTCACGGAACCACCTGGCCTGCAAAGCCAAAGTATGTACTGTCTGGCCCTGCACAGAAATCGTTGGCGGACCCGTGTCCTAGAGGGTCAGTTTTATTCGTAGATTCAGTGCGAAAACAGAGTCGTTCAGAATATTATGTTTATTTGAACATGGTTTTGCATAAATATGACTCATACAGTAGTTTGTAAGAGTGACATCTACCTTTTTTTTTTAAGATTTTTATTTATTTACTTGACGGAGAGAGACACAGCAAGAGAGGGAACACAAGCAGGGGGAGTGGGAGAGGGAGAAGCAGGCTTCCCACAGAGCAGGGAGCCCGATGCGGGGCTCGATCCCAGGACCCCGGGATCATGACCTGAGCTGAAGGCAGACGCTTAACAACTGAGCCACCCAGGCATTCCAGTGACATCTACTTCTTTTTTTATTATTTATTTATGGATGTATGTATGTATTTATTTTTGTGACATCTGCTTTCAAGATAAAACAGACTTCAAAGTAGCCCTGGACTGAGGGCATGCCTCCTGAGGGGCCGCCTCCCCCTCGAGAGCACCAGAGGACAGATTAGATGTTAGGCGGGTTTTAGAGAGAGGACCCAGAAAGGGCGGGAGGGGCAGAGTCAGGAGGACACGGCCCGACTGAGACGCGTGACATGGGTCTCAGGACCACGAGGCAACACCGCCCGTGCCTTGGGAAGGGGCCAGTAACACAGGCCTCAGCCGGTGGCTGTGAGCCGTCTACCTGCAGAGTGTTCAGAGGGGAGGCCTCCCGGGTAGACAGGCCTGGGGAGGACAGGCAACAGGAAGGCCGGGCGTGGGAGCGCGGAGTGCAAGGGG